GCTGCCATGCTGACTACATCCGATGTGCAGAGACAGCATAGATGTGTGGACACATAAAAGGCAGCCAGCCTCCTCATGCCCTGTTTGTAATTGCCTGGGTCCCTCTGCACGACTGCATTTGGAGATGGCGTGCCAGACGAGACAAGGCTTTGATCTCTTCCAGCAGGGCTGTTTCATATGATAAAGTAGCTCAGCAAGAGATGCTCTCATTAAGCAATGGGTGGGAGGGAAGGAGACACGCAGCCCGGAGAGGTGTCATCCTTATGGCTTTTTGTGCGGCGGAGATTTTGCATTCCCGAACATCCTGTCGCCTCTTCTTTACTAGATAAGATCCCAATTCCTGGACATCTTGGGAGGAGCATAATTAGCCCAAAAGAAATCTGCAACTAATTCTGAATTTAGAGTTTGAAAGTGGCGCATTGACCATGCCTCCGACAGCTGTAGCGCATGACTGCAGCTGCCTGCATGAAAAGTTGGCCCTAGGGCGAAGGAATGTAAATAGTGCCCCTTAAATCTCGAGTTCCTTTTGCAATGCTCTTATGATATTTTTGAAGACTAATGACATCAAAACCTGAACTGCTAATTGAAAGAAAATTGGGAGCTTCCAAAAAGAGGCCAAACTAATTTGCTGTCATAACAAAACTGGTTGGCCTTATGTTCATAAGAGAAAGCAGTACTTTTCGAAAAAAGTGTGCAGGAGAGATCAGAAAGAGAAAAGCTCCCAGCCCCCATAACACTATAATTTAGATGAAGAGAGACCCTAGGGTACTCCACCTGTGAGGCCCCGCCCCAATCCCCCACCTCACGACTAGAAGAAAATGGAAATGTTATAAACAAAATTTAGTGAAGCCACGGATGATGACGGGTATTTAAAATTCTGCAATTCACAATTTCTCCTCTAAAGGACATCAGAAAACTTCATCAAAATTGGTTTGTCTAAGTTTGTCACTTTCAATGTGCAGAATGCTCAGTGTGCACAACATCTCTTGAGACATTGTGGCCCTTAATTCATTTTTAATTCTTTTGAGTCTTGAAAAACCCCTCTCTCCCGAGCAGTTAGTGACCATAAAGCTAAGAAATAGCAGCAAGATTGCTTCCACATTAGGAAAGGCCACCTGAATTTTTTCCTTGTATATAATTTGATAAAGGTCTGTATGAGACAGAGAGTGCTCTGCTGTAAGCCTATGGCTTTGTCTCACGTACAGGTGAAAGTGCAAAGTTAAATAAGTTTCAGGTCCATATCTTCTGGGTATGCTTCCATCAACAGTTCAACACCTTGCTGAATTTATTGTTTAGATGCTTTCAGAAAGTGTTCAGAAAGTGGTGGTGGGGGATGAGTGTTCAGACCCCTGGGCTCTCACTTGTGGGGGTGCCTCAGGGTTCTGTCCTCTCCCCCATGCTTTTCAACATCTACATGCAGCTGCTGGGAGAGATCATCAGGGAGTTTGGAATGGGTGTTCATCAATATACGGATGATACCCAGCTCTACCTCTCTTTCAAATCAGAACCAGTGAAGGCGGTGAAGGTCCTATGTGAGTGTCTGGAGGTGGTTGGAGGATGGATGGCGGCCATCAGTTTGAGGTTGAATCCTGACAAGATAGAAGTACTGTTTTTGGGGGACAGGAGGCAGGCAGGTGTGGGGGACTCCCTGGTCCTGATTGGGGTAACTGTGCCCCTGAAGGACCAGGTGCGCAGCCTGGGAGTCATTTTGGACTCACAGCTGTCCATGGAGGCGCAGGTCAATTCTGTGTCCAGGGCAGCTGTCTACCCGCTCCACCTGGTACGCAGGCTAAACCCTCCCTGTCCGCAGACTGTCTGGCCAGAGTGGTGCATGCCCTGTTTATCTCCTGCTTGGATACTGCAATGCGCTCTACGTGAGGCTACCTTTGAAGGTGACCCAGAAACTACAACTAATCCAGAATACAGCAGCTAGACTGGTGACTGGGAGCGGCTTCCGAGACCATATAACACCGGTCTTGAAAGACCTACATTGGCTCCCAGTACGTTTCCGAGCACAATTCAAAGTGTTGGTGCTGACCTTTAAAGCCCTAAATGGCCTCGGCCCAGTATACCTGAAGGAGCATCTCCACCCCCATCATTCTGCCTGGACACTGAGGTCCAGATCCGAGGGCCTTCTGGCGATTCCCTCACTGCGAGAAGCCAAGTTACAGGGAACCAGGCAGAGGGCCTTCTTGGTAGTGGCACCCGCCCTGTGGAACGCCCTCCCACCAGATGTCAAAGAGAACAACTACCAGACTTTTAGAAGGCATCTGAAGGCAGCCCTCTTTAGGGAAGCTTTTAATGTTTAACTGACTACTGTATTTTAATACTTTGTTGAAAGCCACCCAGAGTGGCTGGGGAAACCCAGCCAGATGGGCGGGGTATAAATTATAAATTATTATAATTATTATAACGCTTCTGAATGCCAGTTGCTGGCAGCCACAGGAGGGGAGAGGTCTCTTGCGCTTGGGTCTTCCTTCTGGGTTTTCCACAGGCACCCGGTTGGCCACTGTGAGAACAGGAAACTCACAGCACAATCGTAAGCACTCAGAAGTCCTATTGAGCTCAAAAGGGGATTTCTAAGTATGCTTAGAAGTGCCACTGATTTTCATGCAATGACAGTGGCATTGTGTCGTACAGTGCACCATGCAGCCTACCTTACAAGGCTGTTGTCAAGATTACAAATATATTTGTAATGGTTGGACCATTAATCCTAATAAAAAAAGAATGAGAAAGGCCAATGCTAAACACTGCTATGATTTTGATTAGCCTAGTCTAGGCATGGCACCTCTCCAGATCCATGCTGGAAGGGCAATTGAATTATTGATATAGAAGGGATTCTAAGCAACCACCCCCCTTCAAAGCAAGAATCTCAAGAGTGGTCTCCCATCCAATTTGATACCACATCGGGCCCTGCTTAGCTTTGACAAATGTGCTAGCTGTTCTTGTTTATTGCAGCAGGTTTGTCTCTTTACTGCTTTTGGCAATAATGTATCTGTTTAATTATTTGGTGGTGCTCACTGACTGCGTCCCAGTGGCCACGAGGTTCCTGGGGCCACGGCTGATGAATCCACGCATTCCAGAGGTCATGCGGTTGCAATATTTCTACTTGAAGCAGAGTGCACAATCCATATTTACTTTTCATTTCCAGGCAGTGCTGAACAATCACATCTCGTTATTCCAAATTTTAATTTAATAATTTATTATTATGTAGCTAAATACCTCTGTCTCTCCACTCACCCATCTCTTGGATGCACTCTGTGCCATTTCTTGCAGTTGCTTTGTCTGGAAGTTGGTGGAGAGATAAGACCTCATACTAACTGCAATTAAGACTTAATGCACTCAACTGGGGGAGGGGAACTGACGTCATTTCACGAACATAAGCATGTCAGCCAACCTTTCTTTCAGCCTTCCCTGGTGGTCTAGTGGTTAGGATTCGGCGCTCTCACCGCCGCGGCCCGGGTTCGATTCCCGGTCAGGGAATGACATTTTTTAACGAGAAAAAATATTCTTAAGTCCAGGTACATTTACAAAGGGCGGGGAGCTCGCTTTGATTTTAGCATTTGCTTCTGCCCTAGCTGCTTTTCATTTCCTGAATGCAATACTTTGCAGGCCAGCCGCTTTTGCTTTCTTTTTTTGCATTTGGAAGTGTGCACCATCCGCTCGATGCACGCGCCCTGCTCTTTCCAAGGGAGGCCGCCGATGCCGCCGGCTGCACCCTTGAAGCTCGCTCCGCGGCCGCGCGCACGCTTAAGAGGATTGCCGCCGCCGCCGCCGCCGCCATGAACGAGGCCGGCGAGCGCGCTTTGCAAAGGGGAAGCCCGCCCCGCGCGCCTCTGCAGCGCCAGGCTACGATCCCGCGCCTCGTTGCTCCCGAGCAAGCCCCGCCGGACTCGGCGGACCTTGCTCCCGAGTAAACACGCCTAGCAAGGCTCAGCAGAAGCGGGGTGCCCGGGGGGGGGGTCCCCGATCGAGGATGCGCGCTGCAAGGAGATGCTTCGGGGCAAAGATTTGCAAGAAGTGGGGCTGCTACGCACCCCGCACATTGCACGGGGCGCGCCGAGACGTTGCCTTCCCCGGCCTCCTCAAGAGGAGCGCCTCCTTGCAATAATTAAATTATTATTATTGCAATTATTGTTATTGCAATTTGCGCGCGCTCGGGCACCCCGCATCGCATCTCGCACCTGAACGCGAACACGCCCACCCCTCTGATTTGTGCCTGCAACTTTCCCTAAGCTTACACCTGATGTCTACTCAGAAGTAAAAAACAAAAACCATCCCATTGAGTATGTGTGCAATATGACACCCAAGTCAGAGGGTCTCCGGGACTGACGCCCCACCTTTCCTTGGGTTTGCGGGTGGTTTAGGATTTCCAAAAAAATTAAAACCAACGGTTGTATTATTATTATTATTATTATTATTATTATTATTATTATTATTATTATTATTATTAGCATGCACGGCGTCCCCCCTACATTGATTTATTTGCAAAGCGCACGACCCCTCCTCCTCCTCCTGGAGATTCCTGCATTGCAGGGGGGGGGGTTGGACCAGACGACCCTCGGGGGGGTGGGATCCAGCCCCCCTTTCCCAGCTCCACAAGTTTTACGATTCCCAACTCCTTCCTCCCCACTCCTCTTTGCAATTTTTGCTGCATGCCCTCCCTTCCCCTCCTCTATTTTTCCCCTCCCGGAGAACCAGACAGGCCTCCCTGCTGCCGGAGAAAGGGACGCGGACGGATTGACAGGCAGGCGCGCGCCCGCGCCCCCGCGCGCTCCCTTTCCCCGAGCCTCGCCTGCGCCAGGGCTGTCTTCCCCTGCGCGAGGGAGGGAGGGGGGACGGGAAGGTGAGGGAGCGCGCGCGCGCGCACGCACGCACGCACGCACGGAGCCAGGCGTACGGGAGCGAGCCCCGCGCGCGGAGCCTCCGGAACAGCCCGGCGCGTGCCCGAGCCTCCTCCTCCTCCTCCTGCTCCTCCTCCGCGAGCGCGCACGCTGCTGGCTCGGGTCGGCGTCGTCGTCGTCGTTCTGCTCTCTCTCTCGCCGGCCGCCGTCTCTCTCTCTCTGCTCGGTGCTGCTGCCGCCGCTGCCGGCCCCCTTCTCCCCCCGAGGAAGGAAGCTGCGCAGGATCCGACCCCCCGAGCCCAGCCCGCCTGGAGACGCCGACGGAGGAGGCGGAGGATCCGGCAGGTGAGGAGGGCGCAGCGGAGGCGGCGGCGGCGGCCCAGGCGGGGGAGGAGGAGGAGGAGGAGGGAAGCGGCGGATTTTCTGTCAGCGCCTCACGGTCGGAGGAGGGAGGCCGTGAGGCGCGAGGGAGGAGGGAGAAGCCATTGCGGGAGGGGCTCGGGGTCTCTCTCGGTGGCGCATTGGGGGGGGCGGCGTCGAAGAGGGGCGTGTGAGGAAATGGAGGGAGGGTGGGTGGGGTGACGAGGAATTGGGAGGGGTCGTTGAGGGTGGGGGGCAAGGAGGAATGGAAGGTGAGGAGTCATGGAGGGGTGTGTTGGAGGGTGGGGGGCAATGAGGAGGCATTGGGTCGTTGAGGGTGGGGGGCAAGAGGTGACTGAGGGTGGGGCTGTTATGGGTGGGGGGGTGGGGGGTAAGGAGGAATGGAAGGTGAGGAGTCATGGAGGGGTGTGTTGGAGGGTGGGGGGCAATGAGGAGGAATTGGGAGGGGTCGTTGAGGGTGGGGGGCGAGGAGGAATTGAGGGTGAGGAGGAATTGAGGGGAATCATGGAGGGTGGGGGGGATGAGGAGTGTGTGAAATGGGGAGGGGAGTGAGTGAAAGAGAGGGGAATCAGGGGAGAAATTGAGGCCCATCCCAGAGGTGGGGGGGGTGGGAAGAGGGAGAAGAAGATGGGTGTGTGTGTTTTTGGGGGGTGGGATGTAGTCAGATTGTGGTGGGTCAGAGGAGTGCAAGGAGGTGGGGTGGGGGAATGGGGGTCGTTCATCCAGGGAAGTGGGGAGGGGAGAAGAAGGGATGAGGTGGGTTTGGGAAGGGCTGGCAAGAGAGGAGGAAGGGGAGATGGGGATGGGAATTGGGGGTCGCCTTTGCGCTGAGGAGGCCGGTGCAGTTGAAGGGCAGAGAGAGGGCTGCTGGTTGGGGGGGGGATGACAGAGGAAAAGGGCTGGAATTAGGTGGCTGTGGGCAGATCATGTATAGGGCCGTTGGGTGTTTGTGAAAGAGAAAGTGTTGGGGTCGGAAGCTTCTGTTTCTTCCTGCATGACATAACATCCTCTCTACGCGCCCCCCCCCTCGCCAGAGTCTGCCTGGTGATGAGGACAGCCCTGTTAATGCTGATAGACAGATTGCCAAGAAAAAGGCCTCAAGTCATTGGGAAGAAGCTACGAGGGGGGCAAAAGAAAGTGAGGCAGGGCTCCTCCTGGGCTCTATTGCAGATGTGTGTCTCTGTGTGCATGTGCTCTTCGACATAATGTGGAGAATGGGGTTGAAAAAGTGGTAGTTCCTGCAGGGGAGAGCTGGTGGTTTATTCTTGGGAACCTCTTTCATCCAAGGTAGGCTGGGGGAACTCCTCATCCCTTCACTGACGTACATATACTCTGTGCCAAGGGAAAGCTATTATCATAGGTACGTGCTCAAGCTCCCTTCTCATGCAGTTCCAAGATAATTAAAGATTAAAAAGCTCACAGATTATATAAATAATGGTCTTAGATTTAGGATTGCTGTGTATTCACTGCGATTGATAATGCCAAGTGACATGGGTGGGAGAGAATCAAGAGGTCCTGTCTCCCTAATAGATGATTCCACAGAATCATTGAACATTTGAGTTTTTATGACACAATGCATTAACTGCGTCCGTGAAATGAGTTTGAGATTTGCGTTCTCCCTTGTCTGGTTTTGACTGGTGGCCACCAAATATTTTAGCCTACCCCCACAGATAGTGCCTTTAAATGTTGCTGGATGAAATGAGCAAGGGCCGTGAGTCAGAGCAACACTTAGTTGTCTCTTCTGTGCTTTATCAATACCTTGCAGTCGTAGACATGGTGGAACAATTCATTTGACGTATTACTGGAGCATGTTATGTTGCTGGAGCCACAGGAAGAGGTGAAAGCCATCCATGCCAGCTGCTGGCGCTGTGACACAGAAGGGACTTTAGAAGCTTTCACATCTTGCTTGCATTTTATCCACTGAAGTATCAGTTTGCAGTTAATGTGTACTGCTAGCTTTTGCTGTAGGTCTCTGCATTTTGTGCTGTGTCTCAGGCTGCGAGCTCTGTAGTATAATGTGTATTCAAGGGTAAAAGACAAAGTCAGTACATCATTTTGAACTAGTGTGAGATGAAATCTGCCTTATCTGTTCAAGCTGTTTTATTGCTTTAATTTTCTCCTTGGACTCTGAAAAGGTGAGGTTGCCTTTCATTTATGACACAGCAGTTGGTCACTGAAGCAAAGCAATGTAAGATAGAACTAGATTGGTCATCTACTGATGAGCTTGGCAAATATATAGCATTAAAGAAATTAAGCTCTGGTTTGGGATGAGAATCAGAAAGGAGCTAATGGTTGTATTTATGCATTTTCAAGTCATGTAAAGCTTGGCATCCGCCTTTAAGCTCAATGTTGGACCTAGGAGCTACTTTTAAATGATTTCTGAATACATGTCTTTTTCTGTTCCCTTTTCTTTAAAAGAGAAACAAAACAGAAAACCTCACAAATGTAAAGGTTAGGGAAGTAGCCAATGTGGAGCCCTCCAGAAAGTGTTGGGCTATATTTCTCATCAGCCCAAACCAGTTTGGCCCGTAGTTCAGGATGGTGAGAGTTGTAGTATCTCAAAGGCACCACATCAGCTACCCCAGGGTTAGACTGTGCTCATTTGTGGGTCACAGGCCTCCAATTGGAGGCCAGTGCTGACAAACAGAATATTTGAGTGCAACTGAATATTGCTAGTGATGCATGATTCATTTCTTTTACAGACACTCATAAAGCCAATTCAATTAACAAATGGTTATAGCACATTTTAATTTATTCTGTGCCTACTGAAAAGGGAAAATAAAATTGAGGAAGAAGCAGGGTGGGAAGTGAAGGTGTTGCTCTTAAATTTGCATCAACAGGATATGCTTTAATTCAGTAAACTGAAGCCATAGCTAAATTAATTTGCCCTTAATGGGAAAACCTTTGTGGGCTTCTGGGAGGTGGTGGGGGACTTATTCTGCACTTCTCTATAGTGTGGCATTTTCATTTGCAACTAAATTGCATTACCACATTAAGCTCTGAAACTTCCCATCCTTTCAAAACTGGGCCGGTTTGGAAATCAGTTGGGCAAGAAAATATGTACAAAATTGTAGGCAGCTTCTCAGCTTTATTTGGTTCTCTGCTTCTCCAATGAAATGTTGGATTGTGGATGGAGTGTTGATCATTTGTGCATTAAGTCATGCTGTTCTTGTGAGCGGAAGCTTCTCAGTTGCACAGCTGCTGGTTCCCAGTGATCTGGCTGCTTTATCACCAGCCTCTCTTATCTACCCATGTGTTGTCTGGTAAACTGAGACTATTCTATTGTATTTTGGAAACAGAGAGAGCTCTCATGCATACATATGACATCTTTCCCTGTGCTATAGAAATGTAATCTGTGGGTAAATAAGAATCCAGGAAATATAACGTGTCAATTTCCTGCTGCTGTGGCCGCAGAAATTATTTCTAGTTTCCTGTCTTCAGTTATATATGCCATGGTTAATGGAAGCTGATGGCTCACACATGCCTTTGTCAATACTGAACAGAAGACTGATAACTGGTGCCTGAAAGAGAAGGGTAAGCCTTTCTAACACTGAGATATTACAGGCTTTCAGTTCCATGTCTTTGAGGGTAGGGAAGAGCATAGTTACTGAGCAAGATAAGAAGCTGATTCAAAACAGAAGTCAATGCCAGAACTAGAGAGTTAGAGATGGAAGCATGGAAGTGTCTTTCAATAAAAACACAGATTGGATCGAGTAACCAGGATACCATTTTTGGCTTTCTCACCAGTCTGTATACCTCAGGGATGTCTGTCTATGCATGTGTACTCTATATTATTCAGATGTTGGCAGCCAATCATAAAATCACAGATCCTTAAACTGTGTAGCAGGCCCCCCTGATGGAGTGCGGGTGTAGGGGACTGCTTTGTCTGTGGGAGTTAATATTATTATTTGTTAGGTTTTTATCCTGCCCTTCCATCCAGGGTTGGGGGCGTCTGGGAATACGCATGTGCATTCTCTTCTTTCTTCCAGTTTGATCTCCTGGTTGGGACATAGCTAAGCATGAGACTTGACAGGAAGCAGCAGACCTATTAGGGGAATGTTGTAGCTGGTGAATCCACCCCCTTATGTTTAGAGTAACTGAACATCTGTCTTCAGATGTCTTCAGAATGTTGCTCTTACCAACTTGAATTTAACGTTCAGGTCAATGTATGTAAAGACATATATGTGCATGACACCCATCATATATGTACAGTGAGGACTGCATGCATCTGCTACTCCAGCACACATACCGGATTGCTAGCCATAACTGTGTGACTTGGCGTTAAGAAACTTTAGATGACTGGCATCTTCTGTTCCCCTTTCTGAAAAGCTGTAAGGGAGGAAATCCCACCATAAGGATATACAGTGGTACCTCTGGTTACGTACTTAATTCATTCCGGAGGTCCATTCTTAACCTGAAACTGTTCTTAACCTGAAGCACCGCTTTAGCTAATGGGGCTCCCGCTGCCGCCGCGCCACCAGAGCATGATTTCTGTTCTCATCCTGAAGCAAAGTTCTTAACCCGAGGTACTATTTCTGGGTTAGCGGAGTCTGTAACCTGAAGCATATGTAACCTGAAGCATATGTAACCCGAGGTACCACTGTAATCAGAGCCCTGCTGATCAGCCCGGTGACCCATCTCAATCGTGCATCCTATACTCAAAGTGGCTCAACCAGATGCCTATGGACAGCACAAAAGCATGACTTGAGTACAGTGGTACCTCAGGTTACATACGCTTCAGGTTACATACGCTTCAGGTTACAGACTCCGCTAACCAGAAATAGTACCTTGGGTTAAGAACTTTGCTTCAGGATGAGAACAGAAATCTTCCTCTGGCGGCGCGGCAGCAGTAGCAGGCCCCATTAGCTAAAGTGGTGCTTCAGGTTAAGAACAGTTTCAGGTTAAGAACAGACCTCCAGAACGATTTAAGTACTTAACCCATGGTACCACTGTATTCTACCACT